AATGACAAAATAATGGCATTTGCAGGGAAATGGATGGAGCTAGAAGGAATCATGTTGAGCGAGGTAAGCCAAGAACGAAGAGACAAACGGTACATGGTCTCCCTCATAAGTGGATGCTAAATCCAAAAGGTTAGTGATACGACAAAACTAACAGGACTTAAGAAACAAAGAACTCCCGCTCATCTGGTTGAACCACTACTAAATATCCTCATGCTGCTGATCACAAATATGGTATATAACATGTGAACACTGTTATATATTACAGACTGTGGTAGACAATTTGCTCCAGGGAAGTTAGAATGAACTTGTGACTTTGAAATTATGTAATCATTTAATCACAATCAAAAAAAAAAAAAAAAAAAAAAAAAGAACCTGGGGAAGGGAGGGAGGGAGGGGATGGTAGGGGGAAAACAATGGAGGGGGTAACAATGTTCAAGAGGAAGTGTACTCATAACCTCACTCATGTAACTGTGACCCTCTGTATAGTAGCTTTACAATAAAAAAAAAAAAATGTATTAGCAGGGGCTGGGAAGGTGGCTCAGTGGTAGAGCACGTGCCTTGCATGCCTGAGGCCCTGGGTTCAATTCCTCAGCACCACATAAGCAAAAAGAAAAAAGCCGGAAGTGGCGCTGTGGCTCAAGTGGTAGAGCGCTCGCCTTGAGCTGAAGAGCTGAGGGACAGCGCCCAGGCCCAGAGTTCAGGCCCCACGACCGGACCCAAAAAAAAAAAAAAAAGAAAAAAAAAAAAAATGTATTAGCAACAAGATTATCAATGAAGCTTTCCCCCATCTTAAAAAAGAACATCTCACCTACATAACAGAAGCATGTAGAACACCTAACAAGAGGGATCCCAAGAGAAACACTTCTAGACACATTATAGTTAAAATGATAGATCTGAATAATAATGAAACAATCTTGCATGCAGTAAAAATGAAGAAGGAGCTATACTACAATGGGAAACAAATTAGAATCACTGCAGATCTCTCCACACAGACATTGAATGCAAGAAAGGCCTGGGAAAGTACCATCTAAGCCCTGAGAACCAATAACTGCCAGCCCAGACTGATATACCTGGCAAAGCTAACATTCACATTCGATGGAGAATTGAAAATTTTGAATAGTAAAGAAAAACTAAATGAATTAATAAACAATAAGCCAGCATTACAAAGAATACTAAGAGAGGGAACACAACCTCAAGAAAGCAACCAGGAACAGGGACCTGCACCAGACAGGTATTAATAGAAGTGTAACTTAGTAAGCACAGGAGGAAAGGAAAGAAGAAAAACTTAGGAAAACAGGGAATGACAGAGACCATAATGCATCTCTATATAATATCCTTAAATATTAACAGTCTTAATTCAGCAATCAAAAGAAAAAGAACTGCAGATTGGATCAGAAACATGACCCATCCATCTGTTGCCTTCAGGAGACCCACCTCTCAGCCAAACATACAAACAAACTCAGAGTGAAGGGCTGGAAAAGGATCTAACAATCAAATGTCCCCAGTAAGAAAGCAGGAGTAGCTATCCTGATATCTGACAAAATAAACTTTTCATTAAAATCAATACAAAAAGACAAGGAAGGACATTACATATTAACACAGGAACAATAAAAGAGGAGATATTACCATTATCAACTTATACTCCCCAAACATTGGAGCTCCCAAATATGTCAAGAAAATACTCTCAAACTTACAGAATAAAATAGATGCCAATATGATAATACTAGGAGACTTTAACACCCCACTCTCATCAAAGGACAAGTCTACTAACCAGAGGATTGGCAAGGAAAAAAATTAGAGAAGACACTAGGAAATGGAAAGACCTTCCATGCTCTTGAATAGTCAGACTTAATATAGTGAAAATGGCAATACTGCCAAAATTAATATAAAAATTGAATGCAATTCCTATTAAAATCCCAATGATGTATATTTCTGAAATACAGAAAACAGTCCAAAAATTCATATGGAACAACAAAAGACCTAGAATAGCCAAAACAATTCTAGGCAAAAAAAGACAACATGGGAGGGATCTCGATGCCAGACTTCAACCTCTACTATAGAGCCATAATAACAAAGACAGCATGGTACTGGAACAAAAATAGACCTGAAGACCAATGGAATAAAATAGAAGATCCAGAAATAAAACCACACACCTACAGGCAGCTGATATTTGACAAAGGAGCCAAAGACAAACGCCTGCTCACCCAGCTTGGTCACCTGCACAGCCTTGTGGAAAGCCATGAAGAAGGCCTCGGTCACTCAGCACTCATGGCAGTCCATGAAGGACCGCTACCTGAAGCCCCTGTGGGGCTGCAACATTGAGATACCACCTCACCCCAGTTAGAATGGCTAGAATCAAGAACTCTAATAACAACAGATGCTGGAGGGGATGTGGACAGAAGCGAACCTTACTTCATTGTTGGTGGGAGTGTAAACTTGTTCAACCACTTTGGAAAGTAGTATGGAGATTCTTGAAAAGAGTCCACATAGAGCTCCCCTATGACCCAGCAATCCCACTTTTGGGCATTTACCCAAATGTTTACAAACAAGACCACACTAAAGCTACCAGCACAACTATGTTTATTGCACCATTATTTACTATAGCTAAGATATGGAACCAACCCACATGCCCCTCAGTAGATGAATGGATCAAGAAAATGTGGTATATTTACACAATGGAATTCTATGCCTCCATCAGAAAGAATGACATTGCCCCATTTGTTAGGAAATGGAAAGACTTGGAAAAAATTATATTAAGTGAAGTAAGCCAGGCCCAAAGAAACATAGGTCCCATGGTTTCCCTTATTTGCAATATCTAGTATATGTCTGAGTCAAGCAGAAAAGGTCAGATAAGCTGATGTTAGGGAAATGAACCCTAAGAGATGTATTCAAATGTTTTTTTTCTTTCATGCGCTTGTTTCTAACATATTTATAAGATGATTTCTTTGTTGCTTTGTATGACCCTCCCCCACAGTATAACTCCTGCTTTCATTGTATTTGATGTTGTTATAATTTGTGGATGGGAAGGGAAAAATAAATCATTAAATAGATATACAGGTGGACTCATTGCAACAATGAGATGTACAAGTCATTATGTCGAAAAACGAACTTTACAGTTTTGGCTGGGGGTGGGCAATTGGAAGGAATGAGAAAGGGAAACAAAGGAGGAGGCAACAATGCTTGATAAGAAATGTACTCATTACCTTTCCCATGAAATTGTAACCCCTCTGTATGGTATTTTCACAATAAAGAAATTATCTTGAAAAAAAAGACTCATTCATTAATGGTTAATATTCAGAAGGTATCTTCCTTGACTAAAGCACTTTACTAGGTGTAATGGTAGCAGTACTAAGTACAAGAGACCACCACAACCTTATTTCTTGGAGTTCAGCCAAATCCTTGCCCTAAGGTTTCTGAGAAGTCTAGTGTCTTCCAAAGTAGGAGTTACATGGCAAATTCTGACTGGGAATAGAGGAGAGCTGCTCATGGTGTGTTTAGTGGACGAGTCACTCCCTCTTCTCTGCCAAGGGCTTCTCGTGGAACTCACACCACTGGAGACGCTGGGAAGTTTTCACAACACCCATTCTAGCATCTCTGGGATCCTTTCCAGAAAATATATATTTATGACAATCCATGCTCTGCTTTGTCTTCAGTTTATGTGTACTAGAATAATTTACATGGAAGACTTCTTGAAAGGGCAATAAGCTTCCCCAAGAGAAGAAACTAAAGAAAGCAGACACGAAAAGGCAAGTTCTTCCTCCAAAGATGAGGGGAGAGAAAAGGTGCTGGGAGCCAGGGGAGAGAAGGCACTCAGAAGCATCAGCAATTATGTACCAAAAAAAATAAAACCAAAACACTAAGGCTGATCATTAGGAAACCAGGATTTCCATGTCACATTGCTCGTATTTGCTAGTGTCTCATCCTGAACAAAGTCTGACCAGAAACCAGCATGATCCCTGACAGGCCTGGCCCTGGAGCCAGGGCCTTTGTGATCACAGCTGTGACACCCAGAGCGGCATCCTCAGCCTCCTGCCTCTCTTTCCTCAAGCTCAGTGTAGCTGGTAACTCTTCTCTCCACGAGTTTTAAGGAATTATGGAATTAAAACATGCAAAGGACTAGAATCTTGCAGACATGCTGAAAATTCTCAGTTTATGCTAATTCTTCTCATCACTAGCAACACCTAGGTTAAACAGGACCAGAAAGTTTATCTGGTTTTTTGCTATCTAGAACTGCTACCATGATAGCATCCCCATTTTGCTTCCTCTGAGATGATCAAGAATCTGGCTGCTCACACATCATTTTACTTTGGAAAACAAAAATTCAGAACTAAATGTGTCCCCAGTTGGGGAAACAGAAAAACAAAAGAGAATGAATCATCTTTGTCCTTTAGTAATTTTTTTTGGCCATAGTTTATTTCCCCTTCACCTGTTCCTTTTCTTTCTTTGGCATTCTATATTTGATATTATAATTATTGTGAGCTGCTTTAACATCATTTGGAAATAAAATTAGTTTAAAAGTATGCCAGGCAAAGATGAGTCTCTAGCTGGGCACTGGTGGCTCATGACCATAATTCTAGCTACTCAGGAGGCCGAGATATGAGAATCATAGTTCCAAGCCAGCTCTGGCAGACAAATCCTTAAGGCTTTTATTTCCAGCAAAATCCAGAAGTAGAAATGTGACTCAAGTGGCAGAATCCCAGCTGACTGAGTAAGAAATGGAGGCCCAGATTGCAATCCTTAGTTCCAGCACAAAAATAGATGGTGGGAGAAAAGAGTGAAAGAAAGGGGAGAAGGAAAGAAGGAGGGAGAGAAAAGAAAGAAATAAGTAAAGAAGGAAGGAAGGAAAGGAGGAACGAAGGAAGGTTAGTCTTTAAAATTCCATATTCTCTTGTTTCTTGCCACTGAGTTAAAAAGACAGACATGTGTACAAAATAATGACAGGGAACTGGAACTCCACAGGATCAGGACAGCAAGGAGAGCCAGCAACGTGTGCAGCTTACAGGAATGGCAGGTAGCTCCTGTGTAGCCAGTATCGGTGCAGTCACAGGAGAAGGCAGCCCACGTCTGGGAACATTTACCCCCATGTTCACAATAGCTGGGGAAACACCTAAAGGAAGACAGAGAAACATTGGTGTTTCCCAAATGCAGTCACTATAAAATGTGCTTGTCGTGCTGTTTTGTTACAGGAGAGATGAAGGACAACAGTGAATAGAAACACCCCAATAGGACAGGGGAAGTTGGCTCTGCCCTTTGGTCTATGAATGGAACACAAACAAGGTTAAAAAGCCTGGTTAAGTGCAACATTTGTGACAATACTTGTACTTATATTAGCTCTATACATTTTTCACAGGTTGACGGCATATATACGACTAGGAATATCAATAACTTGCAATGACCTCAGATAGACACACAATTGTTTCCCTCCTACCATATGTTCTTGTCATATGATAGTGCGAACCTCACAAGTCCAGCACCAGCACCTCCACAAGAACATGGGCTGTGACCAGCTTTGACCAATAGGGCATTGTAACAACAAGAACAACAACACAGTTTTTAGTAAAAGGACAAGGTTCTTTTCTAAAACACAAATATGCTTTTGGTACATATGATTAATGAAATTACTTTGCTTAGAAGCACTGTAATCTGTTATATATGTTTCCTCATTCCTCAGAACTTCCCAGACTACTGGCTTTCATTCTTATCATGTCTATCAGTATTTTAATTCACACAAATTCATTAAGATAAATTCAGCCTTGTCCACAAGTCTGAAACAATTTAAATGATTTGGATTGATCCTATTCCTTTTGTTCCAATTCATCTTCAAATGGCTTTCACAACAACTGTTAGTTTAAAAAAAAACAACTGAAATTCATCACATCACATATAATTAAACATTGAACAACCAAATTTACATTGATACAGGACAAAAAGGCTGCTCTATTGCTCACAAATACAATTGTGTGAGCGCCCACGTGATCCATAAGCAAGCACACAGTTAACAGAAAATTCATGTGATTCTAAAATTTTATTCAAAACAAGAGATTCACAGGAGCAAGCAAATGCTAGTGGAGGATGACTGCCATGGGGCAAAGCTATTTAGGAAGCTCCATTCTGTTCTGTGCTGCTGCTCAAGGACTAGTCAGTGGGTCACAGATACATCAAAACAAAAGAAAACAACAAATATCAGGGGAATGCAGGTATCATTGGGGAAAGGACCAGCTAGCCAGTTGTAACTTCTTCCCTCTAATATTGTACAGAGCAATATTGTACAAAGCAACTGTACCATTGAAATTGTTGTAGCATGTAATCAAAGCACTACCTATACTTTGTTCTTTGAAAATTATATATGTGTGTATGTATGTATATATGCATGTGTGCATATATATGTGTGTGTGTATACATGTGTACATGTAGATGTATATATGTGTATACATATATATGTATATAAACATGGAAAATCTCAGCTACCAATAATAACTAGAAATGGTGAACGTTTTACTTATTATGTATTAGATTTTGAAACCAGAAAATGCTTATTTTAAATTAGTTACTGGTTTTAGAAAGATTGTCAGTTTTAAAATGGCCAAGGTTGAAAGGATATTAAAAATCTTTATATGAGACTCAGCTTGGCCATAAGGTACATGATGAATCATGGCCAACTTAGCTAAAGAGTGAACACTAAGCACACAGCACTCATGCCTCCTTAGTCATTCTATTAGCATAGCTGTGAATGGAGCAGAAAAAATAAAACAAAACAAAATAGCACAGAGAAACAGAGAAAGCCTCTTAGCTCCAGTAATTTAATCATTTTTAGTTCTAGCCTAGCTTAGTTGTTCTCTGTAATTACTCTATCCCTTCTACACTGAAGACTCAGTGAACATCCATTTTTCTAACCTGTTCTGTGTAATGCAACTGTTAGATGCCTTAACTTGTCAGTATTGATTTGCATCAGTAAATACACAGAATGGCCAGCATTTTACAAAAACTAAGTTGCTTAAAGGCATAGTAAAGGAAAATTCATGACTTTGTCTTCCAAGAAAATATTGTAATTATGCAAGGCACAATATTAACCTAAAAGAAAACCAAGACATTATGTTTCTATTATCAATGTTTAGATCTTGAAGTCCCGCCAGGCTTCCAAGGCCTGATCCTAAGTCTATAACTCTACCAGGAGGTGGTGGAAGTTTTAAGATCTGGGCCTAGTCAGGGATTTTCAGGGAGTGTGACCTTCAGAGTGGTATGGGATCCAGTCTCTTGCTCTTCATGATTCTGAGCATGAGATATTCAAAGCATACTATGTTTTGCTGTCTCACCAAAGACCTCAAAGCAACTGTACCAACAGACTACAGTTTGAAACCTACAAAACTGTGAGCCAGAATAAATCTTTTGTCTTCATAAATGGATCTCTCAGTAATAATAATGCAGAGCTGACTAAGTGTATATATACTTCCTCCTTTGTCATGAATATCAGCAACAGAGGAAAGAAAAGATGCACTTGTCCAGCTGTTCGTGTGTTTATGAACTAATTAAGTAAATTAAAAACTGAAATCAGACATGACAGAGTGACTTGAATGGTTCTTACCTGTCTATAATGCCACAAGAATCAATCTGGAGGTCATTGAAACTCCCCAGCACTCCTTCCTGTACAGAGATGGGATCCACCACTTTTTCACCAATAGAGATGAGTCTTAGGCAGCCCTGGAACCCTTCCAGACAGCTCCCACATCCAGAGCCACAGATGTTTTCTGGACAGGCTAAATATTAAGACACAGGCAGAAGACAATCAACAAGTATGACCAAAACAAAAGCCCACTGCAAACTATTCACAATATTGAAAGGCAATGTTCTTAAAGCAATGATAAGCAAAGACATGACTTGGAAACTAAAATCAAAGCAGGACCAGTCCAGATAACATCCTGTAGCCCATAAGGAGCCAGTATGCACTTAATTATTCTCCCTTTCTCTGTTGAGTTATTGCACAAACAAGGACAAACTCTCAGATTTGCATGATATAAGACTTATGTGCAGTAAAGGGGGAAGTTATAGAAAGGAGATCATGGAATACTAGGAAAATGATTTTGGATAAAGCAACTCTTTGAGGAATAGACATAGCTGAACAGAACCTAGCTCCCCATCCTTGACTCCTTTTCAGAACTGAAGAAGGCTCTCTATGAATTTCCCTGACTGGCAGTAGCTGACTCTCATCCAGCAGTGAGAGGGCTGGCCAGTATCCACTGATGCAATGGGGAAATGCAATGCATTCACTGACTGCTTGGCTGGGACTCTATTAGTGGATATTTCTGCTGTCTCCTGTGGGATCTAGTTTGCATTCTGCTGTAAAGGCATCATCAAAGCTCTGCCTGACCATCTGTTTGTTACCAGCGTTTCTCTCAACCTTCCAGGACTGTTTACAATAATTAATCCCACTAAGACACCTACTTTCACATAGAGGCAACTTCCTGGAGAGCCCTACTCATAGCAATGCGTACAAAAATTACAATGCTGTTATCGAACACTTGCCTATCATATGCAAATATTAAAATGCTAGAGCACTTCAAATAAATACTGCAACTTTTATGCAAAGAATAAAATGATGGGAATCATTCTTTTATAAAATGATATTAAAATTTAATGATCATTTGTAAAATGATACTTTGTGTGTTTCAAAAAAGTATAATGTAGCAAATAGCTTCATCATTCTTTTTATGGTTTTGTGTTTCTAGTCATTAAAGAGGACTTATGTCAATATTTATAGTGTTACTTTATATTTTATAAGACTTTTACTTCTAAAACTGAAAATTCTTATGTGAGAAATATTTTGTCCATTGTACATTAAATTTTCTGGGTTTTTTTCTTTTTGTTTGTTTGTTTATGTCAGTCGTAGGGCTTGAACTTAAGGCCTGGGGCCTATCCCTGTGCTTTTCCTCTCAAGGCTAGCACTCTGAGCCACTTTGATCCACAGCACCATTTCTGGTTTTCTGGTGGCTGTTTGAAGATAAGAGACTCATGGATTTTCCTGCTTAGGCTGGCATCAAATCACAATTCTCAGATCTCAGCCTCCAGAGTAGGTAGGACTACAGCCCTGAGCCACCAGTGTGCAGCTTTGATGTCTCATCTTTATTTTTGGTCTTCAAATCACTGGTACATTTTCCAAAAAAAAGGAAACTAGAATCTAACCTCCTCTAATTTTTGCATAATGTATACTCACTTTCTACCTAAGAATTTTCATAAAATACACACTTTTCTTGCAGTGGCTTAAGCAGGCTTCAATGTTTGCACCCTAAGAAATCAAATTCAAAACAACTCAAGAGGGGCTGGCAATGTGGCTCAGTAGCAGAGTGCTTGCCTAGGATGCATGAAGCCCTGGGTTTGATTCTTCAGTACCACATAAACATAAAAAGCCAGAAGTGGCACTGTGGCTCAAGTGGTAGAGTGCTATTCTTGAGCAAAAGAAGCTCAGGGACAGTGCCTAGGTCCTGAGTTCAAGCTCCAGGACAGGTAAAAAAAAACATACAAAAAAAAAAAAACAAGACTTGCATCAGGATGAAAAGTCAATAGTAGGTATAATGAATCTGACCAATTAAAACTGAAGGCTTTGGTATTTCAAACCCAATGTTCCATCATAAAGAACTCTATAACATTCCTTATCATTTTCTAATTTCTGTAATAGTGAACAAATTTGATTTGTGAAGAATTTCTGGAATGTGGGATGTTTTTTGAAAAAAATGCCAGGATGTCTTCCTATAGATGACTTCTGCTTCCTGCACTTAGGACAAACTTTACAACAGGGAATGGGGACATTAAGTCAGTATTGTTTTTGTTGAGCCACTAGTTCTCCAATCACACACCTCAAGCAACTGTAAAAATGTCATATCTATTTTTGTTGAGAGCTAAATTAAACAATATCCAGTGGTCAAAATGAGAACATGCTTCATATACAACTTTGAAGAAGAAAAAGAAGATCAAATGCCAAAATGCTTTGCATCTCCAGTTAGGAAAGCGATCCAGAACAGAGAGATTCAACATGCAAGCAGGCTTTTATTTGTCCATGCAGAGGGCTGCCTGAAAAATCCAACTATAAAGTCGGGATTCATTTTTCTAGGTCCTCATTTGAGACGTAAAGTGGAAGAGTAAATGTTTATTGCTAAATTAATGCAATATATCCATTACTATTGAGGGAATTCAAGACTCAGTGTCTCTAAAAAAAAGACAGAGCAATTGTTATTCTATGTTAGAATCTCCAAACTCTGTAGTTCAAGCCTGTGTACTTACTGAAGAGTAAGTACACAGGTACCTTAACTTTCCACCCTTAGAAGGAGGCACCAAATATCCCACAATACACTAGAGTGAAAATGTCAGTGAAACTGCTTCTGGAACAACTCTTAAAATTAAATTAAAATAAATAAGAAGTCAAGCTGAGATAAAAGATACCTAAATCACAGAGTTCATACATTTCTATTTTGACATTAAACATTGTTAAAGTGCTGGTGGGTCTCTCTCATAAGAAGAAAACCACACTCTAGGACTATCAGGCCCAAATGCAATAAATAATGTATAGATGGTTCCTGTGACCAGATAGCATTGGCTTATGCCTGCTGTCCTGCCATCATTACTGATTATCATCCCTCTCAGTCTCAAAAATGTCTTGGTTTTAGACAATAAATTTACAGTCAAACTAAAAGAGACCCTCAGTAATGTCTGCATATAACAATAACCTGAACAATTTTACAAGCCTCGGGACTAGTTAAATAGGAATCCCTGAAGGTGGAGTCCAGGCATCAGTATTTTTGGACCTTTCAGGTGGTCACAATGTGGAGCTATAGGATTGAGAACAAGGGCTATGGAGGAGGTATGAAACCAATTTCGTTAGTAAGGCCAAACATATAGACAGTCATTTTAGGCAGTGATTGTCTATGCCCACTCACCATTGCCTATCAATTATAAATGAAGATAAAAATAATTCTTCAACATCAGTGTTCATTTTCAGTTAAAAGACTATTTGCCATAAAATTTGGGGACTGAAAAGATAAAGAGGGCTGATTAGCAATATTTCCTGTGCCTTTCACTTACCTCCAAAGTAATAAGAATCACTGGGGCCCATCCATCCAGAAAGGGTGTGAGCAGCAGAGGCTGCATTGCTGTCCACCTTCATGTTCACATGATTCCCTTTAGAGGATAAGGACACTGAATGCCACTGACCATCATTTAATCCATCACCTGGTAATAACCAAAATCAATTATTCAGAATTCCTATGACCTAAGCGTGTCCCCTAACGGCTGGTGATGCAGATAAGTGACAAACAGTGAATGCACATAAGTAGCAAACCTGCCTGCGAAGTCACATAACACACTTAAGGTCTAGCAGGTCAACTGGATAAGGACATAATGTGGGGGCACAGAGAGAGACTTAGGGAACATTGGGACGTGGAGGTAGGTGTCCTAATGAGGCAATTAAGTAAGTTGGCATACAGTATCTTTTATCCAAGAAGTTGTTCTCCATGTGAGTCAGGAGAGGGTTTAAGTTAGATGTGTAGATTTAGGGAGTCACTGTCTTTCATCCACAGCTCTGGACTGGCCTGTGTGGTCCTTATATGTGTTCAAATAAAAATTTTAGGACAGGTGCTAGTGGCTGTGCTCCTAGAGACTCAGCAAACTGAGATCTGAGGATCAAAGCCATCCCAGGCAGGGAAATGAGGCTGAAGGCCTATGAAGCTCTGATTATCTCCAATTAGTCACCAAAAGCTGGAAGTGGAAATATGGCTCAAAGTGTTAGAGAACTATCTTTGAACACAAAAACTCAAGGACAGTGCACAGGCCCTCAGTTCAAACCCTATGACTGGCACAAACACAAAAGAAAGTTATGTTCTGTTCAGAATATTATAGCCTATAAGACCAATGCTAAAGTTCTTTCTTTCCCTTTCTTTCTTCCTTCCTTTCTTTCTTCCTTTCTTCCTTCCTTTCTTTCTTTCTTTTTTCCCATTTTTCACTAAGTCAGAGAAGTAGTAAGGGATGGGGTAGAAGAGAAAACAGAAATAATGAGAAAACAGGAGTAGATAGTCCAAATGCTCTTCATCAAAATACAATGTTGTTTTCTTCCAATCCTATAGCCCATACAGAATGAATTCTTCACAACTCACTCTGAACATCCTGTGATAAAATATTTCTCATTACATGACAGCAAATATCTCAGTCTCTTTTTTTAGTTAATATTTTGAGCTGTAAGAAATAGATGCTTTTTCCCAGAATTCAAAGCATAATGATGTTTCCTTACGTTCATGTATTATCATTTATAAGAATATTTTTCTCAGTTGTGGGACTTGAACTCAGAGCCTAGCTACTGTCCCTGAGCCTCTCTGTGCTCAAGGCTAGTACTCTACCACCTTAGCCACAGCACCACTTCCAATTTTGAGTAGTTAATTGGAGATAAGAGTTTCACAGGGATTTCTGTCTTGGCTGGCTTCAAACTTCCATCCTCAGATCTCAGCCTCTTCAGTAGCTAGGATTATAGACAGGAGCCACTGGCACTGGCCCTAAAAGAAAATGATTTAGAAAAAAAATATGCTCAGGTATAGCATCAAAAACTAAGCATTTGCAAAAATACCAGCTTAGGAATTCATAAAATATAAAAATCCATAAAATGTAAAACTAAAGTATCACATTAAAATAAACATTTTTTGAAAGAGCCTGTTGTGTGGTCAATATACATCTCCAAGCTTTGTGGAAACATGCAGAAACTAGCATAAATATTAAATATTTGCAAATGTAGTGGGATTTTTATATCTTTTTACACATTTTCTGCCATTTCCACATTTGCTATTGTACTTTCAACTATTGCTACCTTATAATTTTTAATACTGTTAGTAGTTTCTGCTAAAGCATTCTCATGTTGAATCTAAGAAACAAATCTATTTAACGTGATGGACTAGAGAGTAGAGAATGGTCAAAAGAATTGAGCATTATATCTCATGCAAACTCATGCCTTACAGGAAACAAAATTCCAATCAAGTATCATAAAGAAGATAAATCAGTATCCCATACACTAACCAAGGCTTTTTTTTAAATTAAGTTTATTGACAAAGGAAGATTCAGGGGTTGGGAAGGTGGCTCAGTGGTAGAGCGCTTGCCTTGCATGCCTGAGGCCCTGGGTTCGATTCCTCAGTACCACATAAACAAAAAGCCAGAAGTGGCACTGTGGCTCAAGTGGTAGAGCGCTAGCCCTGAGCTGAAGAGCTGAGGGACAGCGCCCAGGCCCAGAGTTCAGGCCCCACAACTGGACCCCCCCAAAAACAAAAGTTTCCTCTCCATAGGGCTGGGAAGGTGGCTCAGTGGTAGAGCGCTTGCCTTGCATGCCTGAGGCCCTGGGTTCGATTCCGCAGCACCACATAAGCAAAAAGAAAAAAGCCGGAAGTGGCGCTATGGCTCAAGTGGTAGAGCGCTAGCCTTGAGCTGAAGAGCTGAGGGACAGTGCCCAGGCCCAGAGTTCAGGCCCCACAACCGGACCAGAAAAAAAAAAAAAAGGAAGATTCATTTGAGTCTCTGGTTCTGTTTCAGTGGATCCAAGTCTATTCTTCTTCTGTTGTTCTATTCATTCAGGACCTAGGCTATAGGCACTGCCTATATATATATCTCTTCTTCATGCCTCAGGATCTCACTATGGCTTTTGGAGATTCTACTTAGATATTTCACCCCTGCTTATATTCCACTGGCCAAAATGTGTCACTTGGCCAAGTCTGACACCAATGCCCAAGGCTTGAGGGAGGGGATCTTCCCATCAGGTGCCAATGCTTCATATCTCTCTAAAAAGAGAAGTGAGTAATTTATTTTTAGAAAACACCTTTGTTGCCAGGCGCTGGTGGCTCACACCTGTAATCCTAGCTACTCAGGAGGCTTAGATCTGAGGATCACAGTTCAAAGCCAGCCCGGAGAGGAAAGTCCGTGAGACTCTTATCTCCAATAAACCACTAAAAAACCAGAAGTGGTGCTGTGGCTCAAGTGGTAGAGCTCTCGCCTTGAGCTGAAGAGCACACGGACAGTGCCCAAGCCCAGAGTTCAAGCCCCACGACTGACAAAAAAGAAAAAAGAAAAAGAAAACATCTTTGTTCAACAGAGAAAAAAAGTCTTATTCACTTAAGGACAACAAAAGTGAATGCCTGAATTTTTATGACATATCTAAACATGCTTGTGAGCTGCCTAATTCTAATCTTACCATCTTAAATAGTATCTCAATATGGTTAACTAGTGTATCTTACAAGCCATAAAGCTATTGATAGTGGTATTTTGTCATGTTAAATAGCTTAAACAGATAACTCTAATTGCTGACAGGAATAAATATTTGACTACCAGCTGAGCTCATTTGCTGAAATCCGCAGGAAAAACTCAGCATAGGCACACACCTGTGGCTTACACTTGTAATTCTAGCTACTCAGGAGGTTAAGATCTAAGGATCACCATTCAAAGCCAGCTGGGAAGGAAAGTCCTTGAGATTCTTACTTCCAATTAACTACCAAAAAGCGAGAAGTAGGGCTATAGCTCAACACAAATGTATTGGGAAAGGAGTCCCAAGCCTTGAGTTCAAGCCCCAGGACAGGTACAAAAAAAATTGTCCCTATATTACATATTATAATTAGTCATATATGATTATAATTATATAACTAAAATGTAATTATAGTATAGTTATATAATTAACATATGATTAATATGTGCTTAATTATATGCAATTGTATTTCATATATGTATTTATATTATATATCAATAACCATAGTAAAAAAATATCCTGAGCAAAGGTAACCTACAAATCATTATAGTTCAACTTAAATATGTTCAAAGCACATATATTAGCCTAAACTTTTGTAAACTCACACAAAACACATTTAATAAAAACAATTGATTATCTTCTATAATTTACTGAATAATTGTATCCCAAGACAGCACTTGCCACACAGCAGGCTGTTGAGAGGTAGTTTCTCCAGTGGTCATGCAGTTGACTGGGAGCTATTACTTGCTGCTGTGCTTAGCATGAAGAAAGTATTGTGGACCATGAAACACTGGCACAGGGTAAGATTGAAATTCAAAGTGAGATTCCCACTGAATGTGTATAAATTTTGGACCACTGTAAAGTTGAAAGGAATCCTAAGTCAAACCATTCTAAGTCCCAGACTAACTGTAGTATGAAAACTAGTGAAGATATGCAGTTGAAAGACAGTTAAAAAAGTTTATGGGGGAAAAAGAGAAAAGGAAAAAAGACTATGCTCAAGAGCTCAAGAGTCCCTACAGTCAGGCCTGTATCTTCTAGTGTTTCACATTGATTAAACATGAGCCCACACACATTAAGAGTCTCATTTTGAACTCTTACACTCATGCTTACATATAGCTAAGCTTCTGCACTTGAGTCACCTACCTACATAGAAGGTAAAAGGAATTGAGTCACTTTGGGTGGGACTGTAAATACCTTACTGATGATGAATATCTTTTTGATTCAATGTTTTGGTTATCATAATGGTTACTAATCTTAGGTCCGTGGATGAGGATGATATGGCCATGCACAGTTCATGTGTTTTCTCACCTGCGATGATGGTTTTCACTGGATGTCCACGTGAGGAGAGGCTCAGCTTGAGTTTCCCATCACCAAGAAAGAGGACGAGATTCCCTGACCTATGAGATAGCTGACTTGTCAGCAACAGCCCTGCTCTGTTCCATGTCCGAAATTGGAAAGCTATGGCCACGATGTCCTCTCCGTTGGTGTGGGGCAGAGCCAGGTAACTTCTGGAGCTCAGAAAAGTCATAGGGACAGTTTGAGGTTGTGAACAGGAGAATGACACATTTCCCTAAGAACACAGTGAAAGAGGATGTTAGGAAGGGGGATGACTAATATTTCACTGTGAAAACTCTTCTCCAAGGCTGAAAACTGATCACTTTCTACCACAAGATTATTTCACAAGGTGAAAGACATTTCTCCTGATAAGCCCTTTAAACCAAAGCATTGTTAGATAATTACTCAAATCTGTTTCTGAATCTTAGATGTTTCCATATCCTTTATTTTTCTGCATTAGAAAAGGAATTTCCAGTCAATCATTTCACAGACCCAGTGCTGGTTTGGATATGATAGACCAACAGGGTTCTTCTCTTGAGGTTCTAACCATCCTTAAGCACAAGAAACAAATCAGAATCACCTATCAGGAACTGCTCCTTATCTGCACTGATGCCATGACTTTGTCATTCAAAAAACAGGTCTGTCTTCTTAGATAGGAGTGAGATTTGCTGTATCTCAAGACCAAGCTGGTGGCATGGCTGAAAGGGGATCATTCAGGCTAGGATCTGATCTGCTTTACCAGAAAGCTTTTATTCTCATACTATTGTGGTTTGGATTGTCTTTCTTGTTCCAGAAGCAAATTTATTTTCATGCAAACATAATTTCATGCATTGTTTCATGCATATTTTAAAAGGAAACAATTAATGGATTTCCAATAAAATCTTCTATAAGAATGTTTCTCCAGAATTGGGTAAATTTTTACATTTTTCAGATGAGAGTGAATGCCTCAGATTTCCCCTTCTTCTCCAAAATAATAATAGTAATACTAATGATGATGATTTTCCCAGTAGTCAGGTCAGTATGAAGTATTGATGAGTTATACCCCTTTACTCCACAGATGTGGCAAAGTCATTAGGCAATACCACACATGGTTGAATGGGACTTCATGAGTGGGTACGTCACACATTGCTGGTGAAATTACATTTGTATAGCATTTTGGAAAACAACCATTTTTGTGCCTACACCGGGACTTGAACTCCAGCCTAGACTCTAACACTTGAGCCACAGCTCCACTTCTTGCTTTTTGGTGGTTAGTTGAAGATAAGTCTCACAGACTCTCCTATACAGGTTAGCTTCAAACTGTGATCCTCAGATCTCAGCTTCCTAAATAGCTAGGATTATAGATGTGAGCCAGCATAAAACTATATGACATTTTTTGAAAAGTAATAATGCTTATAGAACTATGTGCCCTGTCAAATTATATCCCAAGTCTCTAAAAATACATGTGCTACACATTTCTTACAGTTTTTTTTTTTTAAAAAAGGAGAGATAAAGCAAACACCTGAGAAGGAGGAAGATGTCAGAGAAGTAACTGGGGGTTAAACAAGCTCTCCCATAGAAAGCAGTTTAAGTGGTCCAGTGAAAAGTCCTAGGCTAGAAAGTCACACCAAGTGTGCCATCATAGTACAGAGAGTTTGGCCAGAGAGGAAAAATCCAGGCAGCTTGGTTAAGGAGACAGATTTGAGCACTTGCTGGTGTCTGCAGCAGGTGGCTGCTGTTGCGGCCCCCATATCAGCAGAAAAGAGCCCAGGACAAAGGCACCAGAGGAAGTATGTGAGCGGATTCTACTCATCGCCAGTAAGGACTTACAAGGAGTGGGAATATTCATTATGATGACAGTTTCAGACCATGTATGGCCCAGAAATGAAGGGATAAGTGTGAGTAACCCAAGACATCCTCACTCCTTTTCACAGAGCAGAGAAGAGCTCCATCTTTGATACAAAGATCTGGCCAGAGCAGCTAGCACACAGCAACTCAGGCTTTGGAAGAAAATACGAGCCATTCAAGAGGTCTAGGAACCTGACCTGCCGGGCTCAGCTCCACCCAGGGAAAAGTGGCCCTACCCAGGCAGAGGTGGCTCAGCCCATGCATGAGTGGCTTTCTTCACTGGATAAACAGAGCCAGATGCTGCCACTCCCCATGCATCCCTGGCAGCAGACCCAGCCTAGGAAGGGTAAAAGGAAAACAATTAAAACTCAGCAAACATAAATCCTGAGAATGGCTCCAGGATGGGTTCTGTGAATATTTCAGGAGCTAGCCCCTCAGGGTAAAGCTACTGATTCCTGACAATCCGCAATCCTACCTAAAACCTAGCCCATCACAGCAACTACAAGCTAAAGGAAACAGTCATCTCCCTCTTTTGTGATGCTCAAAGTAGATCTCCCTCCCACTGAACCAGCCTGGAAGGTGGGTCATAAAGTTCTGGGTAAGGCAGAGCTCCTTTCTGCCAGCTCAAACAAACTGACTTAAGAAAGCAATCAAGCCACAGGAAAACCAAAAACCACAAGCAAATCAGAGACTCCATCAAGAGACTGGTTATGGACACAGGGGAGAAACAAGATCCACCCCACAAAAGAAAATCGAAGAACATTTTTTATTTCTTTAAATGTATTCTTTCAACTCCAAATGGATCAAAGACCTCAAAGTCAAAGCAAACAACCTGAAAACATTACAGGAAGGAATAGGAGAAACTCTAGGGCTCCTTAGCACAGGCCAAAAAATTCTTAATAGAGACCCAGAAACACAACACATCAAAAAAGGTTGGAAAAAAGGCATTGCATGAAACTGCAGAGTTTCTGCATGGTAAAGGACATAGCCAGCAAGATCAACAGAAAGCCAATAGATTGGAAGAAGAGCTTCACTGGCCATACAAAGGACAAGGGTCTCATATGTATTATATATTTAGAACTCAAAAAACTAAATCCCCCAACAACAAATCATCAAAGATATAACTACCCAGCAACAAGTGGGCTAAAGACTTAACGAGAACTTCTCTAAGGGGAAATAAGAATGGCCAATAGACACTTGAAGAAATGCTCAACTTCTCTAGCCATTACAGAATGCAAATCAAGACAACATTGAGATCCCACGTCACCAGAGTTTGAATGGCTATAATCAAGAAATCTAGTAACAACAGATGCTGGAGGGGATGTGGCCAGAAGGGAACCCTACTGCATTGTTGGTGGGAGTGTAAACTTGTTCAGCCACTTTAGAAAGCAGTATGGAGGTTCCTCTAAAGACTCCACATAGATCTCCCATGTGACCTAGCAATCCCACTTTGGGGCATTTATGCAAATGATCACAAACAAGGTCATAACAAAGCTACCAGCACAACTATGTTTATCGCAGCATTATTCACCATAGCTAAGATATAGAACCTACCCAGATGCCCCTCAGTAGATGAATGGATCAAGAAAACATGATATATACAATGGAATTCTATGCCTCCATCAGAAAGAATGACATTATCCCATTTGTTAGGAAATGGAAAGACTTGGCGCACATTATATTAAGTGAACTATGTCAGGCCCAAATAAACATAGGTCTCATGGTTTTCCTTGCTTGCAATGACTACTACATGTCTAAGATAAGCAGAGAAGGGCAAAGGCTATGTACATATGATCACATAAGATGATGTTAGAGACATCAAGACAGAGAAACAAGTGACTTTTACTTTCTTGCTATTGTGTTTAATGTACTTATAATGCACTATGTGATTCTTTTGTTTCTTTTGCATGTTCTTTCCCCACAATATAACCCATGTTTTCACTGTATTTGATTCCAGTATTCTGCATCTTGTATATACATTTTTGTCATTTGGGGAGGTAAAGGGATATAGCAGAATGCTTAAATGGGGATGCAAGTTGACCCATTGTAAGGATGAGATGTACAGGACACTATGTTGAAAATGAACTTCACAATGTCAGGGGGCAGGGTAGGAAGAGTTCAGGAGATGGGGAAGGAATGGATGGTAGGAGAAAAGCAAAGGAAGAAGTAACAATGCTCGATAGGAAATGTACTCATTACCCTCCCTACTCATGTTACTGTAAACCCTCAGTACACTATTTTTACAATATATATATATATATATAATTGTATTAATTTTTCATCATTTTTATTTTAGGTATACGTGTTTTTTTTAACTGTTTTTACTCTTTACCCTTTTGATCTTTTGGGGGATATTTTTGCATGACTTTATTGCTGTTTTGCTCATCCCCAGATATATAGCCATCTTCTATTATTAGACCTTATCCTTCTTTCTGTGAATACCTAATTCAGAAATTGATTACTCAGTTCAAAAACTCTCAGCCTTAACTCCTTTAATAGTAGTATTATTTCTTTATACTTATATAATTTTAAGTGGTCCAATTTTTATTTTTATTTTTTCCTTTTTTATTTATCTCTCTCCTGTCCTTCTATCCTTCTCCTCTCTCATTATTAGGTCTTTATACTCATATAATTTTTAAGTGTTTCATTTTTTAATTTTTAATTTTTTTTTGTTTTTCCTTGTTTATCTCTCTCCTCCTTTCTTCTAATTGTTTCCTCTCTGTGCATTTAGGTCTTGGTTAAATTCCCTACCTTCTTCTCCCTCCTCACATTCCTCTAATCTTATTTTCTCCCTACAATTCTCCCTGAACCTATTAATTTCTGGTCTGCTGACTCCTTCTTTGATGTTCTTAGTCCATTATTCCATAGTTGTTTGTTGCTGAACAACATTGTATCTGTTGAACTAGATTGTATCTGTACTCATTTTGACTGTATGAATCTGTGCAACTAAAGAGTTCTGGTTGATGCTTGCCTTAAAATAGTCTTCTAGAATGAAATTGGTTTGTTTCCATACCAAATGGGAAGAACGAACCAGAGGAACACAGGAAAAATGGCAAGACCAGGCATCTCAACTCCCACTCATGATGATCAGCTGACAGAGCAGTTAATGAATAATCCAGAGGAGAGTGCACAAAATGCTCTACAAACACTACTTGCAAACATGCTGAACGAAAAGATTTAAAGCCTTCAAAGGACTCTGTGGGAAACCCATGAGTGAGAGGCCAAAACCATGAGCATGATGAGGCTAACGAAATATTAATAAAGGAATCTCGTGACCATGATAAGCCTAACCAAATATTAATACAGGAAATGCATCAGTATGATGGGGCTCATCAGACATTAATACAGGAATTTCATGAGCATGACGAGGGTAACCAAAGATTAATACAGGGATTTTATGATCATGAG